GGGCCTCAAAGTTTGGAGACGGGGGAGCCAGGAAGCACTTTATAAAGAGAGTCAAACCATTACAAACTCATACAAGGAGATAAAACAGACGTTTTACATGGTGAAATGTGACTGATGAAAACTTAGGAGCTCCCACACCAGTTTGACCATGAATAACGTCGGGTGACAAGTCTGACTTTTTTCCTTTTTTTTTTCACATTAGACTCCACCAGGAAGAAATCCCGTGCATACTGCTGCTTAAATGTTATCTACATCAGAACTTATTCAACAAATGTGTTTCCATCTCTGCTTTTGTGCATTAACTCTTACAGGATGGGGGAAATTGGCCTTGGTGGAGGTTTGCATTCTTCGAGTGCAAAATTTTAAGTTGTGTTCCTTGGCCCAGTACCCACATGTGGTAAAAATGTCATGACAATCAGTCCACAAGTTTTTGAGTAATGTTGTCCACAGACAGAACGACAGACAGACAGACAGAAAACATTACCTCGCCCTTAGAGGAGGTAAAAATGAGCAGTTAGGTTTTCCAAAATGACATTGATGGATTGTGTACAATTTGGTGTCAGAATGGTATATATTTATACTTCTCATCAAACTACAGTTAAATTCACTCTATCCAGGAGGCACAATTTATCAGAATAATATATATATTTTTAACAATAATGAGCCGAAATTAAATAGGAGTAATGACTTTCTAGTTCTTACCATGTTTAAAAATGTCAGGGGTAGAAGTAAAAATTAGGCTGAAAAATAATTAAATACAGATAACCAAAATTTCTACTTAAGTACAGTAACAAAGTATTTGTACTTAGTTACTTTACAACTCTGAACATACAGAACGTATCACTGTGACACATAAAAAACAACAAATCATTTCAGACCATTCCAAACTTTAAAAACACACAACCCTTGCACCTGTTAATGATTTAAATGTTTGTTCTGACCATCAGTCCTCCTGGAGGGGACAGTAAAAGTGTAATCCCCACAGCTGTGTTTACAAAACGTTGGACCCGGGCGAGGCCAAAGGTCCACCCGGACTTTGAGCTGTCGCCACCGTTTAAAACTTTGCGCGTCCTCCAGCCAGCGGAGGCGGGGCCTAAGTGCAGGAGGAGGATAAGTGGCGACGCGGGGGGACGGACCCCGTGCACAGAGGGAGCCCAGCATCTGCAGCCCCCGCAGCCATGGAGCTGTATCTTGACCTGGTGTCCCCACCCTGCCGCTCCGTCTACCTTTTCGCCCGAGCGCTCGGGATCCCCTTCGACTTCAAGCTGGTGGAACTCGTGGCAGGTGAGCCTGCGACCTTTACCCCTCACGCTGCAGTGAAACAAGCAGAAACTAAGATCCCAGATCAGAAAACCAGATGAAAACTTTCAGCTCTTAGTTTATAAATCTGCTGATTTTTTTTCTCTCTGCGTTAAATGTTATAAATCTGGAAGCAGTTTGTCGTTGCTGATATGAAATCTGTCTCTGTGAGGCTTTTCTCCTCTGTCAGCGCTGACTCTTAATAACAAGAACATGACCTCTCAAGTTGCATTTTTACCTTTTACCCAGAAAACTCTCAGACCCTCGCAGTGATCCCCCCGCCTCCATCCTGAGAGAATCAGCTCAGTCTGTAGTGAATATAAAGAAAAACAGCAGATATTTACAGTAAACTGTTTATTATGCTTGTAACAATTATGTGCATATAAGTAGTTGAGTCTGTGGGTGCTTTAGTTTTTATTTTTTAATTAATTAATTAATTAATTTTGTGTTTTTGTTTCAGGGCAGCAGCACACAGAGGAGTTTGGAAAACTCACCATCGTGAGGAAAGTTCCTGTCCTGAAGGACGGCAGCTTCATTCTGACAGAAAGGTTTTTAGGTTTTTGTCTGTATTGTGTATAATATTTATTTATCTGTGGTTTTATAATGTATTTATTTTAACTACAACTGGAGCCAAACTAATGGCTGCTACAGCTTCTCAAACTGTCATTTTTGCAAAAGCTGAGGTAAAAACTGCACATGTGGGATCATCTGGGGAAGGTTTTGCTCAGGGTGGGGTTCACTTTTCCAAACTACGTTTTAAATTAAACCCTCACCCCTCCCCCCGAAGAAATAAAACTTATTTTCTCAGTGCTTTTAACCTAAAAAAAACACGTCAAAAAGAGCATTTTGCTTCTTTTTAAAAAGCCACTTCAGCATTAAAAGTTCATTTCTTTGATTTACACGAGTTTAGATGAAAGGTAAAACACTTCACACAACTAAAAATACTTTTATTTAAAGGAAATGAATCTTTAAAAATCCACAGTTTTAGCCGATAAATACATTTTGTTTAGTTTCCATTGACCATGAAAATGCGCAAATTAGAATTTCGAAAATAAATTTGCTCAATGGAAACGCGTCAATTTCGTAAAAAAAAATTTTTTTTCGACAAAATGTTTTTGCGCTAGGAAGGGGTGTTTTTTCAGCCATATCAAAATTGGTGTATTTCGCAAAAATGCAATGGAAACACTTTTTTCACATCACGGGAGTCACGTGATCAAGAACCATCTGTTTTTACTGGTGAAAAGATGACGAAGAAGAAGACAACAGGAAGTAAAAGTAGTAGTAGTGAAATCACCGAAGTAGTAAAAGAAAGTAGTAAACTCACCGACTACATTTTCCCGAAAACGCTGCATACGTAGCCGCTCCCAAGTATAAGGGGCGTGTCACTCGAAAGCCTCGATAAGACGCAGACGTCTCCTCTGATGATGATCGCTAGTGTCGTGGTAGCAACATGCTATGTGTTTACATCCATTGTCTCCATGTTTGTAATGACTTATCACGAGATCAAACGTATTCACGTGTGACTTTAGTAGCATTTCTTACTTAATGGAAACACTGCAGTTGCAAAACTGTGTTTTTCGACATTAACAGAATATTGACAAAGTTTTGCGCACATTTGCAATGAGAGGCAGAAACGTGAGGCTGGATTGTAAATAAAACATTTCTGCGCTGCTTTATTCTCGTAAAAACTTCGATCAATGGACCGGTCTGGAAGCTGGAGGGGTGCGGGGTGTAAAGTGGCCTGTTTGGACTTAAAGAGACAGCTTTAAAACGAGTTGATTAGGGGGTCTGAGATGGGCTGAGAAGACAGACAGCTGTGTCCTCGTCACTCTTCACCGCCTCAGAAACTACACCGAGTGGTCCGGGGGTCTCCCACCTGAGTGTGATTCTCAGTTATAACACAGACGAACTAAAATAAGGTGTGGAAAACAGGTTTAGTCATCAATACTAAAGAAAGAAAGGGGAGAAAAAGATGGATATTTCTGTGCGGCTTTTAAAGATTTAAATATTAAAATATCAGCTGGTGAGTGAAAGCAGACATGATGCTGCCAAAAGTCTGGATTTTTAAGTTTGATAAATACGGGCCCTGAAACACAACTCAGAAAAGGGGCGGGGTTTGTGGAGTTACAATAAGGAGGAAATCAGACTAAAGCATTGCAGTTTCATTTTATATAGACCCCAACGGAAGGTTTTAATTGTGAAAAAGAAGAATTCAAAAGCAGGAAATGGAGCTGGATGAGAATCTTTTGACCAGGATTGTCAAACTCATTTTCATTGAGGGCCACATGAGCGTTATGGTGGCCCTCAAAGGGCCAGTTGTTCCCATGGATGTGTAGTTATCTCCAGTAGTTATCAATAATAACTCAGTTTATCAATGGGCCCAGAGAACCGATTGAAGCGTTAGGGCTCCCAAACCACAGAAAACCAACAAGAGAGACGTTAAATATGTTTTATCACCGCCACAATGTGACACAAAGTTATTTCAAACTAAATCAAAAGAAATATTACAAATAATTGATTAGAATGGATTACAGCTTTTGTTCTTGACAGGTAATTAGCTCAAATTTAAACAGTCAATTACTAAACAGGTTAACAGATTTATTTCCAATTAAATCAGATAAACGTTAACGTTATATTTTAAAATTAAAGCCAGAATGTGTTGTGTATGTGTGTGTGCATGGATTTGACAATCTGTGTGTGTTTTAACTAGTGACGTGGACAAGACGAGAGAAGAGACTTAAAGGGAGGTTTTAAAGAAAGGAGAAAGAGCGAGAAAGGAGTGCTAACTTTAACTAGACATGGGTTTTTACGATGTAAAAACAAGTGTGCATTGCCATGTAGCATGGCTTTGCCTGCAGCATTGGACTTGCAGAATGAACTTTGACCAAGTTCAAATGTGTTTTCTATACCAGCTTGTGCCTGTCACGTCAGCAGGTGTTTGTAATTAAGGTAATTGTGTGACAATATGAAGTTTGAAGAGATTTTTTGTTAAAGTTGCATTAGCTGGGTTTTGAACCCTGATCTCCCACATGAAAATCCATGACATAGACCATGAGACCAATGGAGCTGTGGTAGAGGATGGTGGCAGAGGTTGGTTTGTATGTGTGCAGAAAGAGGCCACATTGCCAATACAATTATTGACACAAAAATGCATAATATTACAACAACAGAGCAGTATTAAGACAATATTATAGTAAAACATCAAAATACAATCATATTAGTACTGTAAACACTGAACTACTGAGTTGAAATATTAAACTATGGTGCAGTACCAAGTTGAGTACAGCTTGGGGCAGTATTGGACCAATACGAGGCTCCATTGACTGCCATTATAATTCATTAAACATTAATATTTCATAAACTATAAGTTTTACAGGCACCAAAAGGCATAGCCATCATTTGGCACAGGAGCTTTACAGATATAAATTACAATGGCATCTCTAGGACAAAGTATGCAGGAGGAGAAGCATGGCAAAGTTGAGATGACTTGGATGGGAAACGAATCACAATAGTGTGCATTGCATTGGCAATGCACACTGATTATGTTTAACTGATTCAATGAGCAGCTTTGGTGAGCCAGATGAGGCCGGGTGGATCTCGGGCCCGCTGGCTTCAGGTTTGTTCGTTACCTCTCGTCAGACTATGAGGGGAAATCAACAGGAAGGCAGGGTTTTGATAGGGTCTCTCGACCTTGAAAGGCCTTAACTGACATGCAATATGGAAGTTTAAGTTTGTGGTCGATGCTGAATTTAAAGCAGCTTGTTTTAACACATTATAAGACATTATTACTGAGCTATCTAACTAAATTGCTCAGTTACATATAGCCACCAGCTCAGGAGCAGGATAAGTACTATTATCTTTCACCTTTTAAACTTATTTTGTTGCATTTAAACATAAATTTCAAGTTTAACATTGATATAAGAAACAATTTTCATATTAACCTAAAATAGTTTTTTTTTTTAACTTACTAGGTGATATAAATGTTGAAAACTGTTAGCATTTTTTTGGGGAGGGGTGGGGGGGTACCCCACCTGGCAGCCTTGAGTTTGACTCATGTGCTTTGGACACTTTGTGAGTCTAATTCATTATTGTATAATGTTAATTTCCTGCCTTTTCAAGTGTACAGAATAAGAACAGCTGAAATAAATGTGATATTCTAATGTCCGGGTGTGATTTGGGGGCTGTGTGTGTTGCAGCACTGCCATCCTGACCTACCTGGCGCAGAAATGCTCGGCGTCAGTAGCGGACCACTGGTTTCCAGCAGAGCTGCAGCAGCGGGCTCGTGTTAATGAATACTTGTCCTGGCAGCACCTGAACCTCAGAGCTCACTGCTCAAAGGTCTTCCTGCTGAAGGTTCGTGGTCCCCGCTCTCTGCTTACTCGCCTCGTTTTTTTATCAGTTCAAATATTAGTGTTGCTTCTGAAATCATATTAAACATTAACGCTCTCAAACATTATTATTGGCACGTTAGGAGCTTTTTATCTGAGTAAAAGTCTTGTGTCGTGCTGCAGCTGCAGCTCTGCTTCTGGTAAAATCTGATAAATCTGTGGGCAGACTCTGTATCCATTCGTCATGGGCTCCGAGGCCCCGAAGGAGAAAATGGACGCGGCTCTGGAGGACCTGAAGCAGTCCCTCAACCTGCTGGAGGAGAAGTTCCTGCAGGACAAAGCCTTCATCGTGGGCAGTAAGATCTCTGTGGCTGATGTGGTGGCTGTGGTGGAGATCATGCAGGTAAAAGAACCTGCTTTATGTGCAGATTTTACAGGCCGAGCCTCTTAAGATTCTGCACATGTTGGAGTGTTTTCTCCATCTGTGCTGTTTCTTCAGCCTCTGGGGAACGGTGTGGACGGGTTCGAGGGCCGACCGAAGCTGACGGCCTGGAGAGAGCGAGTGAAGAAGGAGCTCGGCACGAAACTGTTCGAGCAAGCTCACGAGAGGCTCCTGGACAGCAAAGGCCTGCAGCAGAAGATGCAGAACAACAGTCATCTGGAGAAGCTCAAACCAGTGCTGCAAAAGTTTTTCAACTGATTTCCAACAAACTCCTGTGCTGCTTTGAAATAAAAATGATTTTAGTTGAAAATCATGCAAATAAAACACCAAATGTTTGCATCTTTTCTTTGTCTAAAAATAAAAACACACGTATGTATTAGGCTTAAAATTTACTTTACAACTTTGGTGTTTTTTTTAACCAAAATGTCACAAATTTGCAACATATTGTAATTTATCATCATGTAGGCCGGTGCTGTTTTAAATTATTCAAGTTCAAGTTTATTTATATAGCGCCAAGTCACAACAGACGTTGTCTCAGGACACTGTACATAAAAAGAACAATGTAAAGAAGAAAGCAGCAGATTGTGTTGAATCACTTCATCACAGTCTCCCATCCTGAGCAAACGGTGGAGAGGAAAAACTCCCTGCTAATCAGGAAGAAACCTCCAGCAGAACCAGGCTCAGGACAGGAGACCATCTGCCTCGACCGGCTGGTTGGAGGACAGGAAAGAGACACACAAACAGAAGAACTGGTCCGGGACTGGTCCAGGTGCACCTTCTTCTGGAAGAGAAAGAAAAAACATGATAGAAATAATTACAATAAACATGTAGAGAAGAGAGACTAAAGACAACAGCAGAGTGAAGAAATGTGCTCAGTTTGTGCTCCAGCAGCAGAAATGAATAATCGAGGAAACCTAATTCTAACTAAAGGATTTATCAAAAAGGAAAGTCTTCAGTGTAATCTTAAAATTATTTATTATTAATTAATTATTGTTTCATTCCAGTTTCAGAGCCTGAAAGTGACTGAGAATCCGTTTTTTTTTTATTTATTCAACACAACAGTCCACTTGTCCTGCTGGAGACAAAAAGCTCTTTATCTGGACAAAAATGTCAAATTCTTCTGCAGGAGCCCAGCTGCTGAATTTATTTTTCACATCTTCACAGATTAATAAGAATTTAGTGTTTCTGTCATGTTAAAGTGGGGAAAAAGCTTTCTAGAGTAAGAAAAATTTAATTATAAACACCACAAACTGCAAGACATAAAAAAACCTGCGATCACTCAAACTGTGAAATGCTGCCACCTGGTGGCTCTTTGAAGAAATGTTTTTTTCCCCACATTTATATGATTAGTGTTCAGTAGACACGTGTTTAAAACTATCATTTAAATAAATAAACGTAATAAAATACAAAGTTAAGACTTATAATTTAATAAAAAACTGTTGTGGTTGTTTTAGTAGCTAATTAAATCAAACAAAAACTATATTAGTTCAATTGTTAAATCTGTTATTGTTTGGTTTTATTGGCTGACGCTAAAAGTGAAGTAAAGTGATTGATGCTGCAGCTGCTGCGGAACATGTGACCCGTCCACACAGGAAGAACCGGACTCAGAAGGTCCGGTCCACACAGGAAGAACCGGACTCAGAGCTTCCTACCTGCAGAAACCCGTCAGCATGTCCTGCTGCGACCCGCTCGGTCTGTGCCAGTACCAGACCAACAAGCTGGTCCGGATCCGGAGCGTCCGGCTCGGTTCTCTGAAGTGGAGCCTGAACGGAGCCATCCTGCTCTTCATTTGGTGAGTGCAGTGCAGGCGTGGAATCTGACAGCCCACGCATCTTCATCCCGCAGGAGGAGGAGGAGGAGGAGGAGGAGGAGGRGGGGGGGGGGGGGGATCCTCCCTGCAGCAGCTGCTTGTTTAAAGCATTTAATATAATGTGCTTTTATTGTGAAGGAGCCGCCCGCTTTTTTAGCGGTTTCAATCAGTTTCACTCCTCAAAAAGTTCCTTGTTTTGATCAAAACTCAATCTGCTGCCTGAACCAGACTGATAGAAGGCACAAACGCTGAGCTGAGACCATTTATTTACCCAAGTATAATTATTAGCTACAATTAAAAACAAACAAATGAATTTGAGACGAACCCAGATCATCAGCCCTCCACCACCGTGCTTGACAGCTGGGCTGATCTGTTTAGTTCTAAAACCTTGTCTGTTCTAAAAACTTGTTCCTGAATGATATGGAAGCATTGGGAACACATTTAGATTTTAAAATTAATATTTTTGTGTTTAATTTCAGCCCGCTTCAGTAAAAAACTTGATTTGATTAAGATTTTATTGCTTTCTTTTAAACTTTTAAAAGGTCTGGGCTCGTCATATTTATGTGATCTCCTTAACATCTTCGTTCCAGTAAAAACAAATTGAATATTACTATCAGAATACTCAAATATATGTTTTGTTTAATCTGTAGTTTCAAATTAAAGTTGTCCAGAAACACACAGACTTTTTTATTTTATTTTGTCAGTATTGTGATGCTGTGGAACAAGAACTACCAGCAGTTCGACCTTGTGGTGAGCTCCGTCACCACCAAGGTGAAGGGCGTCGCTCAGACCCGCATACCCGGGCTCGGAGAGGCGGTCTGGGATGAGGTGGACTACAGCGGGTCCTCGCAGGTGAGAGCTCAGTCGTTCACCTGGCTGTAAAAATTTTTAACGTGAAACTTTGATATTTCTCTTCTTTCTTTTTCTTTTTGTAAGGACAAGAACTCCTTCTTTGTGGTGACAAATGTCATTGTAACAAAAAACCAGAAGCAAGGAAAATGTCCAGAGGTACTTTAATTAAACTGATTCATTTATTTTGTTTTATTTGGGAACATTAGTTTCACTTTGGCACTGTTCTGTTTCTGTTGTTGCCCCTCCCACTTATCCCTCATCCTCTGTTCTGTGTATTTATGAGATGTTGTGATGTTTTTGTTCTTAGGAGTTTTAGTTTGAAGATAACATATTAGACATTTCTGAACACTTACTAACCAGAATGTGTTGTTGCGATCCCGGATGAGCCCCCAATTTATGTTCCCCTCGACTTGGGTCTTCGCATGGAAAACAATCTTTATTGTGAAAAATAACCATTTTTTGGTAAAGGGACTAGTTTGTATTGACTGGAGCAATCAATTTACTATATAATGGGACACTTGGAGGGATGATGAGGAAGCAGGCAAACTAAACGGTGGCTGACAACAATAAAACACATTGATTGTTTAGGAATTAATAGATTATTAAAACATTTTGTGGTAGGGTAAAACTCGAAGTGGGATTGATGATTAAGTAATGTCATTGTGTCTTTTATTCCAGAATCCCTCTAAAGGCAGACTGTGCCAGACTGATAAGGACTGTGAACCAGGAGCCTGGGACCAGCAGAGTCATGGTAGACCAGCTGTTTTTATGTATTATTTTTTATTGATTTTTTTTCTCATCACTGTGGAAAAAAAACCCTAGAAAGTACCAACAAATTAGAGATGTGACGTTCGCGAACGATCCAAATCTTTTGAACGGCTCTTTACAATGAACGATAGGAGCCGAATCGCGGGCAGTAACGAGCCATTTGTAGTTTTATTTCTTTTGATCCTCATATAATCTTTATTTTTTCATGTTTAAATTGCTCCCGCTTTGCTTTTTCTCGGAAAACAGGCTGAGTTGTGGAGTACAGAAGCTCACTGTGAATGGGGGAGGGGGGTTTCCGCTTGACAAACACATGGTACCACCCACGTGACGGGATTGCGTCATTACGTATGGCTGCGTGACAATGTATTTCCCTACGTGATGACGTAATACGTTCAAAATCGAACGGCTCTATGAAACAAACGGCTCCCCAAGATCCGTGTCCCGTCAAAGAGCCATTTATCCCATCTCTACAACAAATATATGTAAATATAAAGTGCAAGTTTATCTTTGTTCAACAGAAAACATTCAGGTATGAAACAAGTCAGCACTTTACTGCCATCTTATGAAAAGGTCATATTCTTTCACAGATTGGCACATCTCACTGCAGTTTGGGGAGGTGATTTGTTGAAACGGACTTTTAAATTATGGTGTTAAAACAAAAAAATAGTTGTTGATTGCTAGTTTTGCTGCTCCTTAGTGATTTTCTTATGTTTTTGGCAGGGTTTCGGTAAGAAAACATGCAGATATATTAGTAAATTTAAACTGTTTATTGTAAAACTTAAGCGATGCATTCTGGGTAGCGTACAGTACGAAGAACAGGAACTCATTCTTTTCAAAATAAGAGCATGAAATTAAACTGTTCCATGTCCCTTTTATTTGTTATTATTTATTTATTTAATATTCATTGCTATGGCGTCCCTCGGAGAGGAGGTTCAAACTGCTCAACTGACTGTGGTTCTGCAGATCAGAACCACAGGTAGATTGTCACCCAGTGACGTAGCTCCAGTTGCTTCCTGCCACGCAAAGAATTGTGGGAACTCTACTAAAGGAAAACTGTCACCAAGAAGGACAGTAAGTCAGAATATAAAGCTCTGTGAATGCAATGTTGCCTGAGGGGTCGCTGTTTCCACACGGTGGAATTTTAGAAATTTAGAAAGCCCAAATCCGCACATCATTTAAAAAAATTAGTAAAACCCCTAAGGCGCAACGGAGAAATTGGTCTCCGCAATTAGTGCTTTATGGGACTAGTGCCCAGCACTGCTTTTCTTCTTCTTCTCTGCAGGGATTCAGACCGGCTCGTGTGTGAAGTTTGACGTGATGAAGAAAACCTGTGAAGTTTCTGCGTGGTGCCCGGTAGAAACAAGGACAACTCCTCCGAGGTCCGTTAATGTTTATTAAATTAACGTTCATATCTTAAATCTGACTCCAATCATCGTTGTTATTCCAACAAATCAAGAGTTTTTATGTGTTTTATTGAAACTGTTTTGGGTCACAGGCCTGCTCTGCTGGCAGCAGCTGAGAATTTCACCGTCCTCATCAAGAACAACATCAGATTTCCTGCCTTCAACTTCATCCGGTGGGACTGATTTGAGGTTTTAAACCTTCACATACAATGATTTTAACTTTTGTTTGTGTGAAAGTCCCCCCCCCCCCCCCCCCCCCCCC